ATATAGGCTAAACCTATATATATATATATATATATATATATATAGGGTGAGGCATAACCCTAACATCAGTGAGGCAAGGAGAACCTCAAGGCGGGCCTCAACCATGTTGAGGCGCAAGCCTCATAAAAAAGAACTCGAGGCGTAAGTCTCGAGGAGTTTTTTATTAGAATTGCGCAAAGGCGAGCTTCGTATTGCGCAATTTTAAATAATGGTGGAGATTTGGGAGGGAGAAGAGAGACTGCCTCCCCTAGAGCCTATTCCTAAGGAGGAGCCGGGTAGGGGGTATGTGGAACGGCATGAGGGGGTCAGACATGAATGAAGAGGAGTTAAATTTAAGAGGAGAGTGGCAGAATTTGAAAAGGGAATGACTAATTATAATCCAAGGGGTGCTGAATTTGAAAGAAAAATATGATAATTTGATGAAAGGTTTGGATACGAGTGTAGAATGAATGATTAGGACACTTGAGGGGAATCACCCCCTTGGGCAATGGAAAATTATGGAGGAAACATGAGGAATGGAGGAGATCCGAGAATGAGGAAGCTGATGCCTATTTTTTAGGGAGATGATACCCATGGGTGATCTACAAAGTGGAAATGTACTTTATCGTCCATAAGTTGATGAAGGAGGAGAGACTGAAGGCAGTCGGGATGTGCTTGGAAGGGAAAGTTTTAGCATGGTACTAATGGAGGGATACTAGTAACCCATACGGACCTGGATGAAATTTAAGGATTGCTTGTTGGAACGTTTCCTAAACAGCAAGGGAGGAGACTTCTATGAGCAGTTCTTCGCCCTAATGCAGGAAGGTACGGTGGAGGAATACCATGAGCAGTTTGAGCAACTGACCAACCAACTGGACCAACCTTTGGAGATTGTACTAGAGAGGAACTTTATGAAACGGCTCAAACCAAAGATTCGAGCAGCAATTAGATTGATGAGGCCTTGTGATTTAGGAGAAGCTATGAAGCAAGTTCAGTTAGTGGAGGATTAGAGGCACCTAGAGAGAGGGATTGGAGGCAACAACTCATGAGGTTCATACAGGATGACCATCACCTTTTTGACATCACTCTCAGGGAGACCGTGAAGGAAAAGATTGTAGGAGGAAAACCTGGGGAAAACTTCAAGAAACTCACATAAACAGAGCTAGGGAGAAGAGGAAGAAGGGGTTGTGCTTCAAATGTGAGGAGAGGAATACACCGGGGCATAGATGTAAGGACTGAACTCTTCAAGTTCTCACCGTTTGTGATGACGAAGAAGTTGAGGAGGGAGCTGTCTTTCCACCTTGCAGACAATGTGGGTCTTTGGGATGGGGGTATTGCTAGACATGTCCAGCGGATAGGATCCACTTGTTGAGGTGGAACAGTTACACCTGCTTAGGCTGAATAGGCATCTACCTATTTAATTAGGTGGGGCACAACAACATTTAAGAGCATTGAAGAGGAAATTAAAGAGAAGTATTAGAGGGAAATTCAAATTAAGGGGGTTGTTTGGGTAATTTACATTTTTTTAACTGTTTTATATAAGATTAGAAACCTAGTGTTAGGGAAGCTGGTGTTTTCTGAAATTTGGAGAGTTCTTTGGAGGATTTGTTTGGGCTCTAACTACATCTGGAGATTTGAGAGAGTCGAATCCTCCTCTCTAATTGAGGATCCCTTGTATCTTGTTGTTTTTCTTTCATCTATTATTAGTAAAAAAAAATTATTGTTAGTATTTTCACAAAATTCTTCTTATATTTTGGTTCGAACCTTGCTAAAATTCAAATTCAACCAAGGGAAGTCACTTTCTATTAGAGTATTTCCTATCACATAACTCTCTCCCATAATCTTAAAGTATAACACATCAACTTAATTCCTCTATAATTCGTACAATCTTGTGCATCACCTCTCTTCTTAAAAATAAGAATCAACACTCATTCTCCACACATCTGACATCTTTTTGGTCTTCAAAATAATATTAAAAAGTATAGAAAGCCAAAAAATTCCTTCATCTCCTAAGCATTTCCACACCTCTATTGGAATATCACCAGGTCCAACAGTTTTTCCACATTTCATTTTCTTTAAAGTCTCTCTAACTTTAGTTTTACTAATACACCGATAAAAGCAAAAATCTATATTTTCATTTAGACTGCTAAGGTCACTAAAGTCAATCATATTTTTATAACCTTTATTAAAAGTTTTAGCAAAATATCTCATCCACCTATGTTGAATATCATCTTCTTAAAAAAAGTACTTTTTATTTTCATCTTTAATGCACTTTACTTGAACTAAATCCAAACTACTCATATCTCTTTATTTGGCTAACTTATACATATATCTTTCGCCCTCTTTAGTATCTAATATATTATATAAATTATTGAAAAAAAAATATTTGCATCACAGATTGCTTTCTTAGACTTCTTATCGGCCTCTTTATATCATTCCTAATTTTCAAAGTTTTTTATATTCAAACCAATTTTTATAACAAAGCTTTTTATTTTTAATCATTTCTTACAAAATTTGATTTCACCACCAACTATTTTTATTGTTATGAGCTTTCCTCTTGATACTCCAAGCACATCCTTCGCAACATTCTTAATATTACTAGCTACTTTTTCTCACATAACATTAGCTACATCATGCACAGACAAAATCTTAATATCTCGAATATTACTTACAAAAATATTTCTATTAGTGTTCTTTAAATGCCCCAATCTAATCCTAGAATAATGATTATTTTTTTTTCATATTCTGCCTCTTCATCTTAAAGTCCAAAACTAATGAGTGATATTGGATACACAAACTTTCACTCGGAAAACTTTATAATCTTAGCAAAATTCTTTGATGAATTTGCAAAGGATAGTTACACATTTTATGGTGCTCTTGCATGGAACACTTGAATATTTCTTGGTATGCTTCCACGAAACACTTGCACTTTTCTTGATGCATTTACACGATGCACCTGCATACATACTTAGTGAGCCAGCAACCCCATTAATATATTTGCATGTCTTTCAATGCATTTGCACAATGCATTACTACATTCTCATTATACTCACACTATACATTTGGAAACGTGCACACAAAATTGCATTAATTGATTTGACACATCACACACACGTTAACGAAATGGTTATGCAACTCGTGACATGTAATAGTCACTACTTTTATTTTATTTAGAAAGTTTTCATACATGGATTTGTTCACAAAACGTATACAAATTCCCTAATATGCACGTTGCTTAGGATACTTGTGCAACATATGATATGCGATAAGTTTGACCATTTTGCTTTGTTTTAAAGCCCTCCACATAAGCGCAACTATTTGAAATATGTAGGGGTCCAAAATAGTAGTTGTTCAGGTGAATATGTTGTCCTCAGAATGTGCGCTTGACTTTTTATTATTAGTTTATTACTGTTCATATTATATCTACTCGTGCGTATATTGTAGATCAAGGTGCAAATTTTATAAGTCAAAATCTTTTATGTATTTTTCAAGAGGACAAGATTTGTTTATATTTGGCTTGTATTCTTACTCAGATGGGCCCCATAGGGAGTGATATTTCCTCTTATAAATAAATGATTGCCTTAGTTCATTTTTATATTAAGTTCAACTCACCAAGTAAGTTTTTAAAGGTTCCATGTATTCATAAAAGTTCTTAAAAATAGTGAGGGGTTTTATGCTCTCAAGCGAGCTCTCAATTTCATTACATGTCCTTTTGCTCATTAGCAAGCTTTTAAATTCATCGCAAGTCCCCTGTAAATCTAGTTTCAATCCAATGTTTGTGTTCAATTATGATACTTGCATTTCAATTGACGCAATGCGTATTGCATTTAGAGGGTTTGATTTTTCTTATTTTGCAATTTCACAATTGAATTATTCATTTTTTGTAACATTATTAAGTCCAGAAAGTTCATTTTAATTTTTTCATTGCATGTTAGTTCACTAAGACTTTCAACAGCCCTTCGAAGTCTCCCCCACATAAGCAATGCCTTCAGGAGTAAGAAGCCTCCCACCTTGGCTAAAAAAGCATGAATATCCTTAGCCATCGCAGTCGAGGGGTCTTCTCTCCTATCACATCAAGAAAGATGTGTATAACTTTATGTACCTATTTGAAGTTTGAAATATTTTTCCTCCACATAGGAACAACATACATGATTATATAAATTTGAATTTTTTTCGGTGCTAACAAAAGCACGAGAGGGCTCCGCTATGTTGTAAGCATCGCCAATGAGTTTCTCGTGTCCTGCTAAGAAATCGTGCACATGTTTTGCTTGTTGTGCTAAGCACGCTACGATCTGGATTTCGAGTATTTTAAGTTATTGCGAACTTTATTCCTTCACGCATGAGGCAATGATGACAACGATGGGGTGAGATGAGTTGAAGATGAATTTACAAATACTATTATTTTTTTGTTTTCTCGTTTTAGAGAGAGAAAGGGGAAGATAGATAGAAAGAAAGAGAGACAAAGATGAGAGAAAGTGACAAAAAGGAGAAAGAAGGATGAGAGAGAGAGAGAGAGAGAGAGAGAGAGAGAGAGAGAGGAGAAGAAGAAGAAAGAGAGAAGAAAAGGGATGAGAAGCTAACAATGACAAGTAGGCTAGAGGGATTGGAGAACATGAGAACAAAAGAGTAAGTGAATGGGCAAGGGTCACATGAGAGAGAGAGAGAGAGAGAGAGAGAGAGAGAGAGAGAGAATGCATGTGGAAGAGGCCTTTGTGTGCAAGTATGGAATAAATGAGAGAGTTGTTTGCACAGGTATGGCCACGAGTACGAGGAATGAGAGAGGTGAGGAGTTTTGACCTCTTTTTATTTTTAAAATAATAAAAATTATTATTTTTTTGCAAAACTCTCTTTGACCGTACATGTTGAAATCATGTCATCATCTCGTGAAAGAATGGATTTTCGAATTTCCCTTATGCAGCAACCCAAGTAATATGGGTGTATATTTAAGCTATTGTCTCAAACCCGTTGCTGCAGTCCATTTGTCAAACGGACATCGCTCGAGTGATTTTGACATTTGGTCAATACACTTCGAACAACATTTGCGTGACGTAGCGTCTGTCACTTGTCATTCTCGTCGTATTTGATCGGGTTGACATCGAAACACCTATCATGGTCAACAACTATATTTACCTGACATCAAATATTTAAAGTTTTGGAACCAGCTAAACTGAACACTAATGCTAACTTCAAGAACTTCGTAATGAAAAGAATTTGTCACCGAATCTTCAGAATATACAAAATTAGGTAGATTCAAGGGTAGATTCAAGGGTAAAAATGCCATAGGTTGAAAAACTAAACGTACAAGTGCAAACTGAAATGCCACATAGTTGAAAGAAAAACATCTTTCTCATGGAAAGAAAATTTTCAAGTTCTAAAAATGATTTAAAAAAGGTTTCATAAAATAAACTGGTGCATGCTTCCATATTCACAGATCCCATAATCATGTCGATGATTTCTGAAAAATAAACTAACATAATGAGTGCAATTTCTATGTGTTCCATCATTTAAGTTCAGCCTATATTTCATATTCTTTAATATTCTTCATGTTACATGATTTCCGCTATACCCAAGATAAATTCATAATATTATTTTAAGTTTGTAAGAAAAACATTCATCAAGTTAAGATGATTCAAGAAAACATAGCAATCATAAATGAGCTTCCATTATATATCATCTTACTCAATGGCACGAGCTGTTCCAAGAGCAATTCTAACTCGAGTGTCCCAGGTCAATGGATTGCAGTAATCATCTGATAAATGCAAATAATCATGAAGGGAACCATTTCTTTCATATTCATACACCAATAGATTGAAACCAGACTCTGAGCAGAAACCAACTAGTTCAGAAATATTAGGATGGTGCAGCCTGGAGATGCCAGAAATCACTTCCACAAAATCAAGGCTAGGTGAGTCCACTTTCTTAACAGCCAAAACCTAGAAAGAAAAACTAACCAGCATTACTACCAAATAAATGAAAATGAAAAAAAGCCATGCATTCAAAATCTGCAATTTATGTTTGATATCAATATTCTAGATAAAATCAATTCAAATAAAAGAAATCTGGCCAATTTAGTGGCATGTGAACCTTTGCAGATCTGCATATAGTAAACTTAACCAACTTGACCACAGGCATCTACATGCAAGGCAGATGCATTCAATGTTCACGAAAAAAGCATTCTCCAATATAATTTGTTGAGTCTTATGGGTTAGAATAGCTCATGTTATTTACTAAACATCTGAGTAAAAAATAAAAAAAACTAACATGTCAGATCCTCCCAACCGTCACCACAAATGTATGATTTCAGCATAGCTGGTTGATGGGTGGACTGCTGATAAGGTGGTCTAAACTGCCTTCCTCTCCATTCATAGGGCACCACCCCAGATTGCTGCCATCATTATTGGTAGAATCTACCAGCGTACAAGATTAATCCACAATTGGCAACCCCTAAAGTCAAGTCTTCTGGCCAATTAAAAACCTTCTCCATCCCAAAAGGCATAGAAGAATCGATCCCATCATTGCTAAGTTTCTATTGATTAGCTGTTTGTACAATGGTTTGCAAGTTGTTGCTGGGAAGACCACCAAGACTTAGTTGTCTGGTGGGATCAATGTGATTCCTCTATCAATCACAACGCCTTTAGATCTGGTTATTCCAATTTTTTAGATTCACAGGAAAGTAGGAAACATCAAATTTTTAGTTCCATCATCAAGAATAAGCATTAGGTAAAAAATATGAACCTCCTCAGTCCTCCCTAAAGGGTGGGAGGTGTGGATGGATCAAATTCTGAATATATGGCTATAAAATTACACAAACTAAAAATGAACTTTATTAATTATAACTAGCGTATGCACGATCCCACAATGAAAATCAGCTCAAATATTTACTTATAAAAAATTACAATTCCGTTATTTTGTCTACATAATGATAGTATTAGCTCATCAACAAGCAAGAGACTTAGGAAATGATGAATTTAGGATGAACACTCATAAACAGTTGGCACAACCCAATCAAACCCAACAGATTAGGCCAACATCCTTTTCCATGCTGAACTAAATTAACCCTTCATAAAATTTGCTGAATTCAGTTCACGGTCCCTACCATTTCATGGAATTTATTAGATTTTAATTGAAAAAAAAAAATCAAATCTTAATTTGGTAGAGGGGACTTAAACAAGCAACTACAATCCAAAATCCAAAAGTTCTACTACTTGAGCTAAATTATTTTTTAACTGGAACTCAAGGACACATCTCACCACAAATATACATGCATTAGTATTATTTTCAATTTCTCAAGTAGATGGTGTGGCAATACTCTTATGGCACCTGACTTTCGACTCCTACAAAAGCACATCATTTGCACATGGTTGATAGGTTTTTGATTGGCTACTAGTGGAATAATCATTCTTGATGCTGTCAATTGGGTCCACTCCTTTGAATTATGGATAACCTATTAGGTATGGTATGTTTCCCACCATTGGGGCAGCAGTCCCCTTGTCTTGTCTACACCTCATCTCAACTCTTCTTTCAAAAACTACTTTATCACTTTGAACATCACTCTCGCACCATTCTTCAGCTTCTAACATGTTTGATTTTCTTCTCCCGTCCCCTTATCCTATTTTAACCACTTCCTCCTTCCATTGGAGATTCTTTATTTGAGCATACTCTAAATTTTCTTTGCTAGAATCTCCTTTAATTGGTCTCCATCGCGAACTACTTAGATGATGGTTACAACCCTTGCACGCACCATTTCAAACTAATATCCTCCATAATGGCATGATAACTTCTAGTTTTGCAAACACTGGAGAAGCCTGGAGTGATTTCCCATTGGGCTTTTCCCTCTGATATGTTTTGGAAGTAAAAATAGTAAGGTAGCTAGTAGAAAAATTATAGGAATTTGAAGATAGTGGCTGATTTTGATTAATACTTCAACAATAACAAAAGATACAATTGATCTACAATTTAAAAGGTAGATCAGCTCTCCCATAAATCCTAGACGTTGCTAGGAAAGTCACCAAACGAAAAGCTACTGCTGAAATAAATTGCATAATATCCTGATGCATGTCTCCACCACAAATGACCTGCTGAAGTCAGGAAATGTTAACACTGGCATGCTGGTCGTGGATTTCTTCAGCTGCTCAAAATTAAACTGTCATTTTTCAGCTGCTCAATCAATGACCATGCTATCATGCCATAGTCTCCCACAAACTTTCGATAGTACCCGGTGAGGCCTAAGAACTCTCTCAACTCCCTTAGGTTCTTAGGTAAAGGCTAATCTAGCATAGCCTTAATCTTGGACTGGTCTAGTGCTATCCCTGGTTGGCTCACCACTTGTCCCAGTTACTCCACCTGTGGTTGTGCAAAAGTACATTTCTTCAAATTGGCATGCAACTGGTGCTACCTTAAAGTCTCCAATACAGTCCTCAGGTGACCCACATGCTCTGCCTCCGTACAATTGTAGATCAAGATATCATCAAAAAATACCAAGACAAACTTTCTAAGATAAAGTTGAAAATCAAATTCATGAGAGACTGAAAAGTGGTTGGCATTCATAAGGTCGAAAGACATCACCAAAAACTCGTAGTGACCCTCATGAGTTCTGAAATCTGTCTTGTGCACATCTCCTGGCTTCATTATAATCTGATGGTATCCTGACTTCAGGTCAATCTTCGAGAAAATGATTATTCCAAACAACTCATCTAGCAGATCATCAATTACAAGAATAAGAAACTTGTCCAGCACAGTTTCCTTGTTCAAGAACATGTAATCCACGCAAAACCTTTAATTGCCATCATTCTTTCTCACTAGTACCATGGTGCTGAAAAAATGACTCACACTGAGCCTGATAATTCATGCATCAAGCATCTCTTTGATGAGCATCTCGATCTCATCCTTTTGAATATATGGGTACCAATATGTCAGACACCAATAAAAGACACTCCCTCCTTCAAGGTAATGGCATACTCGTGCTCCCAAGTCGACGGTAATCCATTATGATGCTAAAAGACCTCAAAGAATTGTTGCAGAAGCTGTTGTACACAATCAGGGACCTCGACCGGCTTTGAGTCTCGATTCTCCTCTAGGCTCTACAACTCCACCAAGTAGTTGTGCCCTGCTCCCTGTAGCACCTTAACCATGGTTTTGTGTGAAATCATGGTTCTACATAGGTTAACATCTCCTCGCAACACCACCTTCTTCCCCTCTACATGAATCTCCATAGTTAGATATTTTCAGTCCACCTTCGTCTCCCCGATCGTTTATAACCACTTTATCCCTAAGATCATATTAATGCTCCCCAAATCCAAGGGAAAAAAATCCTCCACTAACTGAGTGTCAGCACCACTCCCCTGCATATCCCGTACTCCTCTCCACCTTTCTTGTTACAATTATAACTCCAAAGCTCCATGTATCTATCAACTTCAATCTCAACTGGTCCAAGATCTAATTTGAGATGAAGTTATGAGTAGCCATGTTATCCACCAAGACTACCAGTGGCTACTCCCTGCTCTGCCCCCTCACCTTCATGGTGTGACTTGGAGCAAATCCCGCCAATGAATTTACGAACACTTTCGCCACGTCCAGGTGTAAGTGTTCCTCTCCTTTTCCTTCCTCCACTAGATTCTCATTACCAGTCTCCTCCTCTTCACAAACCATAAGAACCTAGAGTGTGCAGTACTTGCACCGATGGCCTAGTGCATACTTCTCATCACAGCGAAAGGCATTTCGTTCTCTTGTCCTGCACCTTTGCTTCTGTGAGGCGCTTGTAGTTGGCCCCAAGGCCAACTCCCCCACTCTTCTCCCTCTGTGTCTCCCGCTAAAATGACACTATTTGGGTCCTCGTTACAAGTGAAGTCTAGGAACTTTTGTAAGAGCCTCCCGCAACTCCGCTCTTACTGCTCCTCTCCATCTGTCTCCGATCCTCCGCTGTTTGGGCTAACTCCATCATCTCCTTTAACCCTCTTGGTCTCATCAAACGGAGGTCCGCTCGTATGTCGGGCTTTGGACCCTTCATTAAATTTCCCTCCAACATCGCCACCAAAATTCCCCTCAACCTCCTCGATAGTAACTCGAATCTCTCCATGTACTCCATGACAGATCCCTCCTAATTCAAGGCAAGGAAATGCACGTATGTCTCCTTCGCGAATGGCTCGAAAACGTTTGAACAAGCAATCTTTAAACTCATCCCACAAACATATCAAATATCTCGCCTCCCTCTACTAGAATGAAGCGAGGGCTTTTCACTTGATGTAGGCAAAGGGGGGGTCAATTCATGTCCAAAATAAATCAATTTTGACCTCCCTCGAGTCTACAAGCTCAATCAAAATTGAGCTGAAATTTTAGCTCATTTATGAGCTGGTCTTTAGTTCACTTATTGAACTAAGAGTTAGCTCATTATTAGCTAACATTTTAGTTCATAGTTATCTTTTTATTAATGTAATTTTTAATGTTTTAATTATGTTTATCTCTTGGAATTCCAAACCGGCTTTTGGAATTCCAAGATATGTTATTTCTCATGTGTGGCTCCTTGGCTTCCACCATGAGCTTTAGTTTTTTGTGCCTTTGCCCCTTGGAATTCCGGCCGGCTGCTGGTTTTCCGAGCCTGGGATGTTTCCCGTGGCTGTGGCACCTTGGTTCCGTGCGGCCTCCTTGTCTCCCGCAGCTGCTCCTTCGGTTCCTGGGCTTGGGCGATTTTCCGTGATTAGCATGGGGGGATTTTCATGCTTGTGATGTTTAGGTTCTTGTGAAAATTAATGTTGGTGTCCTTTTGTATTCCCCTTTCATACCTATAAATATGAGGGGCATGTAATGTTTGAAATAGTGAATGTTATGTGATTTTTAGAATTTACCTGCGGGTTATTGGAAAAGCTTGCAAGCTTTGTCCGTCTTCTTTCTCATCCCCTCCGAAAATCTTGTGAGCTCTTTCCAACCTTTCGTCTCG